CTTCATTCAGTGTTGTGATAGAGATACATTAAATGCATAATTTTTTTTCCTTGTTAGGGATTTGTTTCGGCTTTGAAAGACGGCTATGGCTTCATTCAGTGTTGTGATAGAGATACATTAAATGCATGATTTTTTTTTCCTTGTTAGGGATTTGTTTCGGCTTTGAAAGATGGCTATAGCTTTATTCAATGTTGCGATAGGGATACAAGATTATTCTTTCATTTCAACGAGTTGATTGATGCGGTGAGTTTTGTTATTATGGCAATCGTAAGCAAAAAACCTTTCAAATCAACCTCTTCTAACTACGTTAGAACATCGTTTGCTACGTAAAGCTCGATATGTGCCAGTGAAAGTATGTCAAGATAAATCGATGGAGAAAGTAGCTTTGCTGATGTTAGTTTAAAGTATCGTTAAATGTTTTTAGATGAAGATCGTCCAGGCTTGGTGAAGTTCTGAGAAGGACTGTTGGTGTTGTTGTTGACTGTCATCCGTATAACCAGAGTATTGACAACCTTCGCTGTAGGCTTCACTCTTAAGATGACTACCGCTTAGGTTGTCCAAACGTCAGTCAACAACAACAATCCTTCTCAAGATTTCCATAAAGTGGACGATCTACATCTACACACATGCAAAGGTACTCCCGGGCTCAAATCATTTAATTTAAAGCCTTATCAGTTAGTGCATGATCGTCTCAAAATTATTGCTTGTCGTGATGTAGTTGCTGTTTTATTTTCCATAGGAACAAGAAATCAACTTTTCAGATGAAGTGGAGTTCAGTGTAGTCGAGGTTCGTAAAAAAAGATGCATTTTGAGATTTTTTGTCCACTGACTGATTTCTACAACTTTAAAACTCGTTTACAGGATCACGTGTCCGGAAGGCTGAATGCGATTCGTGTGAGAATCTTACCACGGGGAAACATAACTCTCCAGGTATAGTCACCATAGTGTATCAACCAATCTTATAGTCACCATGGTTTATCAACCAATCATATAGTCACCATAGTGTATTAATGAATCATATAGTCACCATAGTGTATCAACCAATCATATAGTCACCATAGTGTATCAACCAATCATATAGTCACCATAGTGTATCAACCAATCATATAATCACCATAGTGTATCAACCAATCATATAGTCACCATAGTGTATCAACCAATCATATAGTCACCATAGTGTATCAACCAATCATATAGTCACCATAGTGTATCAACCAATCATATAGTCACCATAGTGTATCAACCAATCATATAGTCACCATAGTGTATCAACCAATCATATAGTCACCATAGTGTATCAACCAATCATATAGTCACCATAGTGTATCAACCAATCATATAGTCACCATAGTGTATCAACCAATCATATAGTCACCATAGTGTATCAACCAATCATATAGTCACCATAGTGTATCAACCAATCATATAGTCACCATAGTGTATCAATGAATCATATAGTCACCATAGTGTATCAACCAATCATATAGTCACCATAGTGTATCAATGAATCATATAGTCACCATAGTGTATCAACCAATCATATAGTCACCATAGTGTATCAACCAATCATATAGTCACCATAGTGTATCAACCAATCATATAGTCACCATAGTGTATCAACCAATCATATAGTCACCATAGTGTATCAACCAATCATATAGTCACCATAGTGTATCAATGAATCATATAGTCACCATAGTGTATCAACCAATCATATATTCACCATAGTGTATCAACCAATCATATAGTCACCATGGTGTATCAACCAATCATATAGTCACCATAGTGTATCAACCAATCATATAGTCACCATAGTGTATCAACCAATCATATAGTCACCATAGTGTATCAACCAATCATATAGTCACCATAGTGTATCAACCAATCATATAGTCACCATAGTGTATCAACCAATCATATAGTCACCATAGTGTATCAACCAATCATATAGTCACCATAGTGTATCAACCAATCATATAGTCACCATAGTGTATCAACCAATCATATAGTCACCATAGTGTATCAACCAATCATATAGTCACCATAGTGTATCAACCAATCATATAGTCACCATAGTGTATCAACCAATCATATAGTCACCATAGTGTATCAATGAATCATATAGTCACCATAGTGTATCAACCAATCATATAGTCACCATAGTGTATCAACCAATCATATAGTCACCATAGTGTATCAACCAATCATATAGTCACCATAGTGTATCAACCAATCATATAGTCACCATAGTGTATCAACCAATCATATAGTCACCATAGTGTATCAACCAATCATATAGTCACCATAGTGTATCAACCAATCATATAGTCACCATAGTGTATCAATGAATCATATAGTCACCATAGTGTATCAACCAATCATATAGTCACCATAGTGTATCAATGAATCATATAGTCACCATAGTGTATCAACCAATCATATAGTCACCATAGTGTATCAACCAATCATATAGTCACCATAGTGTATCAACCAATCATATAGTCACCATAGTGTATCAACCAATCATATAGTCACCATAGTGTATCAACCAATCATATAGTCACCATAGTGTATCAACCAATCATATAGTCACCATAGTGTATCAACCAATCATATAGTCACCATAGTGTATCAATGAATCATATAGTCACCATAGTGTATCAACCAATCATATATTCACCATAGTGTATCAATTAATCATATAGTCACCATAGTGTATCAACCAATCATATAGTCACCATAGTGTATCAATGAATCATATAGTCACCATAGTGTATCAACCAATCATATAGTCACCATAGTGTATCAACCAATCATATAGTCACCATAGTGTATCAACCAATCATATAGTCACCATAGTGTCAACCAATCATATAGTCACCATAGTGTATCAACCAATCATATAGTCACCATAGTGTATCAACCAATCATATAGTCACCATAGTGTATCAACCAATCATATAGTCACCATAGTGTATCAACCAATCATATAGTCACCATAGTGTATCAACCAATCATATAGTCACCATAGTGTATCAACCAATCATATAGTCACCATAGTGTATCAACCAATCATATAGTCACCATAGTGTATCAACCAATCATAGTCACCATAGTGTATCAACCAATCATATAGTCACCATAGTGTATCAACCAATCATATAGTCACCATAGTGTATCAACCAATCATATAGTCACCATAGTGTATCAACCAATCATATAGTCACCATAGTGTATCAACCAATCATATAGTCACCATAGTGTATCAACCAATCATATAGTCACCATAGTGTATCAACCAATCATATAGTCACCATAGTGTATCAACCAATCATATAGTCACCATAGTGTATCAACCAATCATATAGTCACCATAGTGTATCAACCAATCATATAGTCACCATAGTGTATCAACCAATCATATAGTCACCATAGTGTATCAACCAATCATAGTCACCATAGTGTATCAACCAATCATATAGTCACCATAGTGTATCAACGAATCATATAGTCACCATAGTGTATCAACCAATCATATAGTCACCATAGTGTATCAACCAATCATATAGTCACCATAGTGTATCAACCAATCATATAGTCACCATAGTGTATCAACCAATCATATAGTCACCATAGTGTATCAACCAATCATATAGTCACCATAGTGTATCAACCAATCATATAGTCACCATAGTGTATCAACCAATCATATAGTCACCATAGTGTATCAACCAATCATATAGTCACCATAGTGTATCAACCAATCATATAGTCACCATAGTGTATCAACCAATCATATAGTCACCATAGTGTATCAACCAATCATATAGTCACCATAGTGTATCAACCAATCATATAGTCACCATAGTGTATCAACCAATCATATAGTCACCATAGTGTATCAACCAATCATATAGTCACCATAGTGTATCAACCAATCATATAGTCACCATAGTTTATCAACCGTATAACCAGAGTATTGACAATCTTCGCTGTAGGCTTCACTATGATCATTTGACGGCTACTAAAATTTTCAAAAATATAGGAAGTTGAATTTTTCGAGAAATTATTAGGCGTTTTCTGAAATTTAGCGTACTATAAAAGAATATAATTAAACATAAAATTTATTTCCTTTTAACTATAAGAGTGAACGAGAGTGAATGATTCTGAACAGTATTTGAAAACAATTTGGAACATAACATCAAATTTTTAGAATAAGGATGAAGTCAATATTTGAAATAGGATAACGGCTGTAATACTTTTATCTAAATACATTAAATAAGAAATAAAGTTAAATTACAAACAAACAGTGGCGTAGCATGCTCAGTAATTTATTTTTCTTGGGGGGAGGGAATTTTCATACATTCATAATTTTGGAGTCAGTGGAATATGTATGAATATGTACACACTGTCATCTCATTAATTTACCTGACGTAAGAAACAAGAAGTTTTAGTGGATGGAGTTTACTTTCTTACCAACTATGTTAGTGGTAGTAAAATGTTGCTGTTCTTGTCCTTTCCTATTTTCGCTTATTATCCCCATTATAATATTCATTATAAAATCATCCAAAATTATCGAATTAATTGAATTTTCTGATGATTTGATTGCAAGAGTGCTAGGAGCATTGTGTTTTGCTGTAGACTAGAGATCAACAAAAAAGAAGAAATGGGTTGGAAGCAACGACACAAGATTTTACAAAACAAGAAAAATTCATGTGATCGAAAACATATCCTCTCTTATAGTTTTTGTCAGCCCTCTCCTTGTTTTTCAACACTGGCAGGAACACCCACCGAAAGATTGATCTAGGTAGTCGGTACCAAACTTTTTCCACCTTTCTTAACGTCTATTTTCTTTCTTCCCCTTTTAGGAAAAAGTCTCAAACCTCAGAGATTGGATGTTGTGTGTTCATTAAAGTGTTATAGCTGTACGTATTGTATGTGGGTCAAATCACACGTCATTTACACATCGGATTTTCGTAGCATATGAGAATATATCCATTTGAAGGTAACCAAACGTCACGCCTTGCGTTATCGAGCATTTTTGCTAACATAAACATATCTGGAGATACCCCAACATGGACGACTTTGAAAGAATTTCCTCTTCTCACGATTCATACAAACTCCCTTAATGAGAACCTCATTATCAATAGCTACAAGTCTTCACTTATCGACAGTATAGTAAAAATACAGTAGAGCAAGTCCATTGAATTTTTGTGCTACGTATATCTCATTGCGCGTATGATTACTATATTGGAAGCTAGTAAATTGACTTTTTTTGAGTAATAGGAGTGCTGAGCTGGCTAACGGCAGTCTGTTATCTAATTATATGTACAGCAGAAAGTTTCTCAGCAAAGTGGACCTTTGGTATGTTTCCTTTACTATGACTTAACATCTGTCCAAGGCAGTTCTATTCAACTCTTTTAATTTCACTATATTTTGCTTCCTAACTTCGTAATTTATATAATCTATTTGACACCGTCTCATTTTGTATTCTAACACCTTATGTAAATATGATTATTTCTCATAACATCCTATTAAGCATGCAATGCTACCCAACCTTCCGATTTGTTAAATACGGCCCTATAATGCAGCGGATGTTGAGTTTTATTTTATGTTTTTCTACGTGTTTCTGTGCACCTGTTCACTTCAGAATTGTTTTATTATTGATGAGGAATATTTACTCTAAACGTCCCTAATGAATATTTTGATGAGAAAATACGTCAGTAAACGTCCTGTGATAACAAGAGGCCACCATGTTATTACATAGTTAAATGTTGTTAATGACTTAATGTTGACAATGACCATATACAGTCTCTCAGATCTATAACAATTGAAACCAGCGGTTCATAATAGGTAATTTTACAAACAAATCTAAACAAATTTCGAAAAACAAACAGCAAAAAATTTGAAAACAAAAAGAAAACAGAAGAGAATGCCATTTTTTACAAAACAGCGAGGACAAAAAAGTAAAGAAAGGCTTCGTTTCAGTTTAAATAATACTTTATAATAAACCTTTTATTAACTTGTTTATTCGCTCTTCGAGCCTGCGAGGTCTGCACATAAAGAATTAAATGATCCGAATTTCTCTTTAAAGAATTCGCGATTGCTTAGTAAGGGACTTATTATACAACTAACTTTAATACGGTTTTTACAAATTTATGGGCGTCTACATGCTTTTCCTTCCACCTGTTCACATCAAAACGTAGGCTTAACAACAACACTTTACAGCTAATTAACATAGCTAAGTTACGAAGAAAATTGTAAAATTGCCTAAATTGAAATGATCCTTGCTTGTTGTAGTAGACTTTGATAATATCCAACAGAGTGGCTGTCCAATGCATCAACTAGAAGTTTGTTTTTTACCAAATTAAAATTAATATTGAAATGTTAAATTGTTGTTCTTAATTCTTTACCGCTGAACCCAATCACTTAAACCATTTTTCATTCATAAGTCATTATTCTTGATGCATTATTTTTGCCATTTCTCATTGTATTTGTGCTGCTGTCGTCTTGTGAACAAAGAGTTGTAAGAAATAAAAAAAGCTGGTTTCATGTTGTAAATTTTACTGTATAGTTCGGTTCGACATAAATTGGTGTATTTGCGGTTACAATTTTTTACCAATGAATGTTAGCAAAAATTAAATTTAGTGTTAACAAAGTTAATATTTAAGAACTTAAAATACGCAATGGGAACAATATCATTTTTTGTCATTTAGCACTTGAAGTCATTAACCTGTTTTGCCGTGTTCACCCAGTTTAGATGCATTAATTTTGCTTCGGCGCTTTGTCTAAACAGAGGTAAAATATCAAAAACTTATCTTCTATAACATTGCTTCGTCAACCAATGTATGTATCTTAATTTTTCTTTGTTTCCAAATTTTCTAACACATTTAAAGTATTATTGTCGATTCGTAAAGGGTAGGATTTGCGGCAAAACGAAATTCAATAAAATGTTAAATAATTGTGGCAGTCAGCATAAGTGCATGTTTATATATTCTCAATACACGCTACTGCACACTGGAGGAAACAGCTTTGGTCAGCACTTACAAGTAAAACTTTTCGAAAACCACAACTGTATTGTTTACCATACTTGTACGAATGTTCAGTTTCTCTGTTTGTTTAAGGCGTATTTCTGCAGTTGCCTTTTTGTGTGCGTTTTTCAAACAAAGACGTAAAGACAATAAAAGAACAAAAGGTAAGATGTAATAAATTTCGTTGGCTACAGTTGATGGTAAAACTTATGTTTGTTTATCCTCGTTGCTTTGTTAGCATTTAATATACAGCAAATTTTTCTTTGACTGAGTTTAGCAGCTTACATGATGCCGGCCTTCCCTCGAAGTATTGTGGTTTTCAAAGGCTAAAGACATCAACTATTAAACGTTTTCATAGATCAGAATTGAGTCAATTTTTTTCATAATTCCGTGGAAATTGTATGCAATCCAGGAATAGGCGTATTGTTTCATTGTTGATGAGGATATTTAGTCTAAACGTCCCTAATGAATACTTTGATGAGGAAATATGTCAGTAAACGTCCCTGTGATAGCAAGAGGCCACCATGTTATTACATAGTTAAATGTTGTTAATGACTTAATGTTGACAATGATCATATACAGTCTCTCAGATCTATAACAGTTCAAACCAGCGGTTCATAACAGGTAATTTTACAAACAAATCTAAACAAATTTCGAAAAACAAACAGCAAAAATTTGAAAACAAAAGAAAACAGGAGAGAATGCCAACTTTTACAAAACAGCGAGGACAAAAAGTAAAGAAAGGCTTCGTTTCAGTTTAAATAATACTTTATAATAAACCTTTTATTAACTTGTTTATTCGCTCTTCGAGCCTGCGAGGTCTGCACATAAAGAATTAAATGATCCGATATTTCTCTTTAAAGAGTTCCCAATTAGTAAAGGCCTTATAATACAACTAATTTTAATTTGGTATTTCAAAATTTATGTGTTTCTACATGCTTTTCCTTCCACCTGTTCACATCAAAACGTAGGCTTAACAACAACACTTTACAGCTAATTAACATAGCTAAGTTACGAAGAAAATTGTGAAAATTGCCTAAATTGAAATGATCCTTGCTTGTTGTAGTAGACTTTGATAATATCCAACAGAGTGGCTGTCCAATGCATCAACTAGAAGTTTGTTTTTTACCAAATTAAAATTAATATTGAAATGTTAAATTGTTGTTCTTAATTCTTTACCGCTGAACCCAATCACTTAAACCATTTTTCATTCATAAGTCATTATTCTTGAAGCGATGTTTTCTTGTCATTTCTCACTGTATTTTCGCTGCTGTCGTATTGTGTCTATTGTTTAAACAAACACCTGTAGGCAATAAAGTTACAGCTGGTATTACGATGTAAATTTTACTGTATAGTTCGGTCCGACACAATTTGTTGTATTTAGGGCCTAAAATTTTGCTAATGACTGTCAGCAAAATTGAATTTACTGTTGGTAAAGTTGATAGTCAAAAACTTAAAATACGTTTTATATTGTAACAATATAATTTTTCGTCATTGAGCACTTGAAGTCATTAACCTGCTTTGCCGTGTTTGCCCACATTAGATGCATTATTTGTGCTTCGTTGCTTCGTAGCTATAAACAGAGGTAATTCTCTAAAATGTCAAAACTCTATGTTCTATAACATTGCTTTGTCAACCAACAACAACATCCAAATTTCCAAACATTTAAAGTATTATTGTTGATTCGTAAAGGATAGGATTTGACGCAAAACAAATTCTATAAAATGTTGAATAACTGGGGCAGATGGCATGAGTGTTTGTATATACTCAATATGGCACTGTACATTTGAGGAAGCCGACAGCCTTGGCCAGCAGTTGCAAGTAAAACGTTGCGAAAGCCACAACTCTGTTGTTCGTCTGACTTGTATGTATCTTAATTTTCTCTGTTTGTTTAAGGTGTATATCTGCAGTCGCCTTATTGTGTCCGTTTTCAATTAATAAAAACAAAGGTAAGATGTGATGTAGTTGATAGTAAAACGGAAGTTTCCTTATCTTATTTATATTATTTAATACTGCAAATTTTTTCTTCGACTGAGTTTGGCAAATAAGTGTTAATACAAACACCACACAACTTACGCCCCCCAAATGATTTGATTCTTATAGTAAATGGAGAGATTTTTTCATTTACCACAATACCTCCACGCTAGATGTAGGATTTGGGACAGGTTATCACATTAATGTTTTGATTCATATATTTATATACTATCATATTTTTTGCTCAAATCTCTCAACTACCTCAAAAGCAAATCCTATTCCACTGTTTTGTAAAAAATTTTGTTCTTTAGCGGAACCTGCGAAAAATTAAAAAGAAATCCCTTAAGATTTTCAATTCTTATGGAGTATTCATTGTCATCAAGTACTCCACAAATAACTGCAAGCAAAGGAATAAGCTTGAAAAATGTAAAAGTTGCACAACATTTCTACGATTTTCTGTGATATTTCTGTAAATTTTATAAAAGAATTTGAGCAATCTCAAGATAACGCTGAAACCCAAAACTACTTAGCTGCCCTTAATATCGACGTTCGTTTATTTCGTAAGCTCTTCCCTCCTCAATAGAAAAAGCTCCGCGGTGCATGTAATGTAAATATCTAACACCCTTTCAACATTATTTTTTGGTCATTATCTTTTGAAATTTTTAATTTATTTAGTTAATTTTTCAACTGTAACTTTTTGAATTTGTCAACTGAGCAATTTAGCTGTTTTATACCTGCTAATGTGTTGAATTCGATGAATTAAAAATTCGAATGAAAATCCAATACGGGTATAGCATTAGAGACAATACGGGTATAACTATACAGCTATAGAGGCTGCATTACAAGAAATTGTAAAGTACTTTATGATTTCATAGGTTTTTTACATGTATCATGACATAACCGGAAATTGGAATGAAATAGCTAATAGGAAGCTCTTCATGCACAATTGTTATTTTCATATTCAGATAAAGAATTTTAACATCGTCTTCGTTTTTAATCTATTGTTTCTAAAATGAATGATTTGCTTTGATTTTAATTTGATCTCGCTTTCTTCACTTCCTTAGCGCTATCCACTAAAAAGCATTTTTTCATCGTTCAATAAATCTCTTGAAACACAAGAAGTTGAAATTTAGACTGAACCGAGTAAGAAGAATAAAGCATAAATTTAAAGTTAACCAAGTTTCATTATTTTAAGAAAATTATAACCACGTACCTATATAATAGCTACAGTGGCTACCAATAAGAGAGCCATCATGCAGCCATATGAGACTAACTCGATCTATTTCTGAACAGTTTTTCTCTACACAATTTTGCTGAAATGACTTTTTATAATGCTCATATATTGCTCAAAAATACGTTTTGATCGTGATCTGCTTGCATCACAGATGTAATTGTGACGTAGTCATTGTCGATCTAAATATAAATTTAAAGTCTTCTGTGATAACGTACATACATCCAACAATCAATTATAATTTAGAGCTTTACTGTATATCCTTGGATCTATGCAATGATGAGTTTAATGATATGGTGGTTATTGTGGCTGTTATTTGG